GGCATCATTATGAACCAGGTAGAATCCATGTTGTTGGGCTCCATCTTCTTTCTGGAGACTTCAGAGATTGCTGTTAGGAAATCTTTTTGTTCACTGTGGAAAACCTAAACATTATTAATATCAAAACAGAAAGTTTAAATTTTAGGATAGATATTTATCCAAAGAAAGGTACTGAAGAGCCAAAACTAAGTAAGGGGAGAAATTAAATTTTGGGGAGATAACAGAGCTCAGTCCCTAGATTTTTTACTTTCTTCTGTCCCACACTAGGTGTCTCTTCTGATATGAGACAGGAACTCTCAATTTTTCTTCTAACAACATGCTTGGGCTTTGAGAGGAAGAGAGCCATGCTCCAACTCCAAAGCCAGCTTTGCCTTTTAATTGAGTTGGGACTACAACTTTTCTGAGAAGTAAAGAGATACAGATGTATAGGTAGTGAGAGCTAATATGTGACAGGTGCCAGGGCTCAGTCCTCTGACTTACGATATCTTGTGTGAGCAGCACACTGCTGGTAGTGGGGTCAGTGAGTCTTTGACTTGAAAAAAGGCCAGCATGAACTGCCTGTACAGAGTACTGGCTGTCAGAAAAAACAATGTTAATGGGCTTGGTCTGGCACTACACTATGACCTTTCGGAGGGCCAGTAGCTCACCCATTGAACAGAACCAGGGTTAGGGATGACATATGTAATATATTTGGAGCCAGGATGCTGGACAGTGCCCATATCCTCCAGGATGTCTCTGTCCCAGAAGTTTCTTGGCAAAACCATAGAAAAGATAGGGTGAATGGCTCCCTTGTTGTCATTAAGGTCTTTCCAATGAACCAGACAGGTGGTAAGTTGTGAATCTTGGCCTCTTACTCCACCGATGAGAGGGGCCACGTCTACATTTCCAATGGGGAAAGTGGAGCACCTTCTTTCTGTTAAAATGGTTATGTCTGCACCCGTGTCCACCAAGACTCTAATGGGTTGTCCATCAATATAGATTGTCAACATTGGGGAGCATGGGAAAATGGGCAATTTCCAATAGATTTTTGGATTACCAGAGCCTCCTCTTACTGGTGGGGGTGGGGGCTGAGAAGTGCCCTTCTCCCTGGAGGTCTGGAGATTAAAGGGGTGGGCACTTCAGCAGGCTGTGGTCCACAATCCTTTCCCCAACGAAATCCCTTACTGTATCTGGGGCACTTGGGTCCTAGGTTTTGCCTGGGGGCAGTCACACTGCAGATGGCTTGGTTTGATGCCATCTCCAACAATATCTGTCTACTTGGAGGCCGATAGGTGTGTCATCAGCATGCTGCCTGTCTTCAAGAAGGGCACCCAGGAAGTGGTAACAGCAGTGTTGGGACCATAACTTGGGTCAAGACCTCTTGTGGCCAGTACCACTTGTGAATGTCCTCATTACAGACCACTGTGACCACATTGCATGTTGGGGCATTAAGCCCCTCCCAAACCAATTGTTTGATTAACAATTCCCTAGTGGAGCCCAGTGTGCTCTCCACTCCAATGCCTCACTGACATGTGCAAGAAAATCTGTAGAAAGTTTCCTTGGCTGTTGAATAAGATTGTGGGAGTAAGCTGAAGGGTTCCACAGGTGCATGCCTTAAGAGCTTTAAAGGCCAGGTCAGAAACCTGTTGGTAGTAGGCTTGATGGCTAATATGCCCGATTGATGAGGTGGCCAAAGCCTCCTCATCTAGTGAGCATGTATGTCAAGGGTCATGTGAACATTAATTAAGAGGTGCGCTCCTGCTTGAGCTTCTGCTTGACCATTGTAAGCGGATTCCCAGCTAAGAAAGGCAACCGGCTCCAGCACAGCTTTTAATGGCATTTTATCCTAGGTTGATGGGAAAGACTTCCACTGGCCTTTGAAGCCTGGGGAGGGAGGCTGTGGTGGCTAGGGGTCGTACTACAGTGCAAGGAAATTTTTTGCCTTCAGAGGCTGGTGGACATTTCGACACTTTAGTCCAAGGGTGTTGCAGTGGAAGTGTAGCCTCCAGCGTCAGGAGTGGAGTTCATGGGGAAGTGGTACATTCGGTCTTAAAGGTGGCCTTGTTCTCCTTAGCATGTTTTGTGAGGCTTGAACTGTCTGTCTCCTCATCATTGGATGTCATTGAGAGATGAGACATGGAAGGGGTGGAGGTGAAGGAGAGGTGAGCAACTATCAGATAGAAGATGACAGTCAACATGGGAGGAACAGAAAAAATATGTGCCTTCCTAACTGGACGGGAAGACAAACATGACAGACAACACAAAAGAAAGAAACAATGAGGGTCCCAACACTTACCTGCCTGAAGGGACTGAAAGCACACAACATAGAGGGGCCTTCTCACCGAAATATACTGTCTTGGGGGTGCTGGACAGCACCACGAGTCAAGAGAGGGAAACACTAGAACCTGTTCTGGGCAAAACCCCAAAATTATAGCTGCAATAATAAAAGAAAAAGGACTCTACTAGGTGAGCTCAAAACCTATGCTAGAAGTTCCTGTTCTGGGCATCAGATATTGCTGGGTTCTAACTGCTCCCTGGGGCAGGGAGTGGGGTGGGCGAAAGAGAAGACATGGAGTCAACAATACAGACCCTGGGAGTTAGGTGAAAGGAAAAACAAGACTCATTTATTCAACAATAGGTAGAAACTTATATAGCCTCCCAGCCCCCATGTGTTCTGATCCATTGACATTGCATAGTTGTCCCTCATTGGCTAGGCACCTCTGACAGTACCTGTTGCTGGGGCTTCAGGCAGGGTCTCGTGGTCACCCCTTCATTGGTTGGGCAGGATCAGGACCATTAACAGCAACTGTTAGACTCCAGGTTGGCTCAACTCTTAGCCTGGTAGGTCTTAACTTCTAACATGCACAGACATGTATGACCAAGGGTTCTTACTTCATGCTCAGTGTTTTGAGGTACCACGGGTCTGTTTTTCAGACCATTTTACACTCCCATGATTACTGACATTTTTCTTCAGCTTTTAGACACAATACCCTCCAAACTTGGCTCCAGTCTTGTGATTATCTGTCAAAGAAATAGAAGATGCTGTATGATGGGAGTTGGATTTGGCAGAAAAAGTGGATATTGTCAATGTTTCTATGAGCAAGTTCTACAACAAGTGCTTTCAGAGTGGAATCTCCACTCTTGTGGGTTTTGGGGGCATGTATTTCATATTTCCTGTAGTTATAAATGTAAGACAGAAACTTTTCAGTTCTTTTCTGGTTTTCTATGCTCATTACCTTTCAAAGAATTTTAAAGATTTATTTAGTTTTATTTTATGTGAATGCATGTTTTGCCTGTATCCGTTTGTGCATCTGCACTGTGTGCTCAGTGCCCACAGAGACCAAAATAATGTGTGACATTCTTGGAACTAGAGTTATAGTGTGAGCCACCTTGTGGCTGGGAACTGAACCTGAGTCTTCTGCAGTAGCAATAAGTCTTCTTAACCTTTAAGCCATCCTAAACATTTATTTACTTATTTATTCTCTCTCTCTCTCTCTCTCTCTCTCTCTCTCTCTCTCTCTCTCTCTCTGTGTGTGTGTGTGTGTGTGTGTGTGTGTGTGTATGTGTGTACATATGTATACCATGGCTCACATGTATAGTCAGCAGACAACTTGCACGAGTTATCTTCCCTTTCCACCGTGGGGATCCCAGGAACTGAGCTCAGATCCCTGAGGCAGGTGCTCTTACCTGCTGAGCTGTCTTGCCTGCACCTCTAGCTTCCTAAATGGAATACTCTCCCTTTTTCAAGACACGCAAGTTTCCTGATTGTGAGAGGTAAGCTCATGTCCCCATGATATTTCAGCTTAGGCTTTTGTGTCACCAGGTCACCCATGTGCTCACCATCCCTCTGAGAGGCAGAAAAGCACTCTGGGAAAGTCAACAGTGCCAAAGCATCTGTTCAGAAAAGAAACTATCCAGTGATGCTTCCCACCCTGAGAGCACTGGGGGCCAGTGGGGGCAGCTGGCAGGAAGCCCACACTATGTGAGAGATCCAGTGGGGCAGGCAAAACTACCTTACCGCTTCATGCTGGGCTTCCTTCTCCAAACAGCAGTGACCTCTGACCTAGATCTCACCACAGACCCTTGCTGCCTTTTGCCTCCTTCCAGTCCCATTCGGATAAGCTGAGGCAATCAGTCTGAGCACACTCTAGGCCTGGTTTCCAGCTCCTCCAGATTGCACCTGGAGAAGGGCACTTGTCTGCATCTCTAAGGCGTTCTTACAGTGTAGGCTAAGAACAGGCCCACTAGTGACTCTTCTATGTGCTAGAGAGTTTCTCTGAGATCACTAAGTGGAGCAAAAATCTGTCTGTAACTGAGTTACTAAGAGCGTTCCTAGGGGTTTCTACTAGTATGGGAATGGCTGTTTCTGCATGTGATTCTGTTCTGTATGGGTGTGTGTGTGTGGGGGGGTGTTGCCTTCCTCTATTATCCTTTACACTAAAGCATGCACTGTTTATTGCTTCTACAGGGTGAGCTCACGTCTTGTCAAGAATCCCCTATAGCGTGTCAGGATGACAGCAACAACATTGCTAGCTCCTATCTTTGTTGTGTGAATTAGGTTTGTCTTGCTCCTTCATGAGCATTTCCTGTGTTCAGTGTTGCCATTGAGTGAATGGCAACTGGAACCAAATAGCCTTTCCTTCCCTCCTTCCTCACTTTTTTTAATTTGAAAAATATGGTTTTTTTTTTCTTCAATTTTTGAGACAGCATCCCACTGTAGCTCAAGCTCGCCTCTAATTCAGGAAAGTGGTCCCACCTCTACAGGGATATCAGCCATGGCCTGCTATGCCAGGTTGGTCCAAATAGCTTTTTCTATGAAAAACCAATAGAAACAACCCTTCAGTTGGCGTATTCCCAAGACTTTATTTTTTAGAAAATCCTGCTTCACTGTAGATAATAATATTGTTTCCCCACGTATGGGTGTTTAAAAAACACATCTGTTGTAACATTAAACTGTAAGGTAATCAGCCAGTTCACAGTGCTTCTGCCTTCTCATCACCCGGTGCAATGCACAGTTGGCTCTACAATTCTGTCTTTAGCAGTTTGAGAGCTTTCTTCATGTTGTCCAGCACTGGTGGGACAAAAATTAGGACAGTTAAGCTACCATTAGAAATGACATTGTGGTTTGAATGAGCATGCCCCCCCCCCCCCCCCCGCG